GAACTCTCGAAGGCTCGATTAACCGCATGAAAACCTTTCATGACGGTAAAAGGCGCGAGGAAAGTTTCGAGCCAGGCGACCATGTCTACTTGAAACTGCGGCCCTTTAGACAACGCACGACGGCACAAAGGGTTGCGACTAAGCTTGGGGTGCGCTATTACGGGCCCTACCAGATTTTGAAGCGCATAGGGAAAGTAGCTTATCGCCTAGAACTTCCGGAGAGTTCGTACATTCATCCGGTCATACATGTCTCGCAACTCAAGAGAAGTTTGGGTGAAGCGCACAAGTGGTGCGAGGAACTACCCGCGACAACCACAGATGGGTGGGCAATCGTAAGGCCAAGCCGTGCGATCGAGTATCGCCAAGTAAGGAAGGCTGGACGTTATCGTTGGGAGGTGTTAGCCGAGTGGAAGGAGCTGCCATCGGAAGAAGCCACTTGGGAGGATGTAGAGGAAATGCGCGAACAGTTCCCTGATTTCATCCTTGAGGACAAGAAAGCGCTTGAAGGGGACGGGAATGATGCGAATGTGGCTAGGCAGCTGAAGAACGCCTCGAGCCGGGCCTATAAAGCGCGCAAGAGGTTAGCGCGGCAGGCGGGTGAGACGCAAGCCATCGCGTGCGAAGCATGCGAGGTTGGCGAGGGAGACCCGACGGAAGAGAGCGTGCGGCTAGCACATGAGCAAAATGCGGTCGCGAGGGGTGAGGCGAGTGGCACGAACGCGGCTGGCGCGAGGGACGCGCGCGATAAAGCCTCGGGTGGCAGGGACGCGCGTGAAGAAGCCGCTGGGCGCGAGGACACGAACAAGGCGCGCGGGGGTGAGGCACGCGCGAGTAGGGGCGACGCGACCTTAGTCATCGAGGACTAAAGCAAGGCGCGCGGGGTCCAAAGGCGGCAAGTAGGGCGGTTGGGATTTTTGGCTTGGAGTGCAAGTCAAGGCTTTTCAAGATCCCTTAGTTATTTGGTTTCCTTATTCCATTATGACTTTTAGATTGATTAGGATACTTAATATTTTATTGCTTTATGAGAGTTATAGCTAGATTAGGAATAGATCTATTTGATGCCTATATAAAGGCCCTTCCTCTTGTTATTTTTTATCATTCAGAAATTAATAGAAAAACCGAACTTTTTTGTTCAAACACTTTGCTCTAGATTTCTTCTAGATTTCTTTTGCAATTTTATCGTTTCGAAGGGGCGCGGTTGTGTAAACCTACGAGGCATCTATAGGTGATTCAAGGCACGAGTTTATGGCTTATCGGCGATCGGGACACGCGATCTTCATCACGGCGACGGCTCGCGGAGGAGCAGCGTATGGGGACGGTGATCGCCGGTTGGCTGAGGGCAACGTCATGTGGCTCGCCTTCGCCGTGAGGGTCGCCGGAGGAGTTTGCTGGTCGCGGTGGGAGGCCTGCGCGCGGAGGAGGTCTCATGGTGGCGTCTCGCGGAGGGTTGTCGGGATTCCTCATGACGAGGGACGACGTGAACCAGCGGGTGGTTTGTGAGGACCGACGGCCGACGAGTAGAGGCGGCGATCGGTTTTTTCGTGAGAGAGAGATGACGAGAGAGAGATGAGCTGCGGGATTATTTTTTTGAGGGAGCGAGATAGATGAGCGTACATTTAATATGAGCCTAGGGTTTATTATCTTGCCACACAAGAAACACACACACGCACAGAGGGAGAGGGGCGAACCGGGTCGGCCAGTTCGAGCTGAGGAGCCGGTTCAATGCGACTGGGCGCGGGTTAAAGAACTCGGCCGGGTCTCTCGGTTCTCTCGGGCTCGACTAGCCATATAATATTAACTCTGTTCGGCTCGATCGATAATTAAAATAACCGGAATAATTATATATATACATATATATATATATATGATACACACATTACTTAATTAATAATAAGCAATTTTGCAATTTAATGACAATTAGACATTGAATAATAATAATAATAATAATAATAATAATAATAATAATAGTAATAAATAATAATAATAATAATAATAATAATAATAATAAATAATCTCAAATAATTCATAAATAAACGGGGCATTACATGGATGCTAAGAACTCTTTCTTTGGAGAGGTCAAGCTCCACCAAGACCCTAGCATAGTTGCACCGGTCACGCGTAGCCGTGAGTTTGTCGGTTGTGATGGGCTTGCCGACACAAGAGGCTATCTTGCTAAGAGCATTGACGCTCCAACATTCCCCGGGAAGGAGGGGGAGATTGATCCAAACGAGAACGGTTTTGATGTCGTCTTCCCCGAATTGGAACCAATTAAGAAGCACTTTGAGGATGAGTCCTGTACCATAGATAGTGTAGAGGCCCCCATAGAGTACCTTCTCTCTATCTTCTTCATTTTTTAACTTGAACACAATCCACCCATTAACATCGGGGAGGTAGTCGTATCGAACTCCCCACGAGTTACAAAGCTTGAGTAACGCCTCTTTTCCCGGGTGCCTCTGAATGAAGTACCCAACGAGGCAAAAGCCCCAAGTGCTCATTATGTCCAATATGTCGTCTTCATCGAGGTCCACTCCATTTTCCGGTGGGATGTAGTTCAATTTAAGGCCTATCGAAGGCTTACGGTTATCGGCAAAGGGGGCGAGAAATGCCTCTTTAATGTACAGGGGTTCCTTTAGGGCATTTTGTCGATCACCTTGTGTTCATCATTTTTGGATTGGTTTGTAGGCTTCTCTTTCAATGATTGTTCCCTTCCTCTAACATCCTCAGCTAACCCAATGTTGACAATGTTGTCAATAGGTAAGGAAACATTAGAGGTCTCCCGCCTTACCTCCTTCTCCCTCGAAACTCCATTAATGGCGGCCTTGGAACTTGGAGATGAAGCTTTCATTTGGGCCACGATTGGTTGCTCTTCATCCGAGTCCTCTTGGGAAACATCATGGAGTGTCCGGAGCACTCCTCCTCTATCAATTTCCGGTAACGAAGCTTTTTCTTTGATTTCCCCATGGAAATGAGTTGTGGTAGATACTATAGCAGCGGGTCTCAATTTGCAACCAGCGAATTTAGAATGATGATGGTTGCATTTACCAACTCAAATTGCAGCAAATTCAATTCGAAGTTACAAGGGGATGGCAATTCGAGATTCAATTTCCACTCAAAAGAGAATCGAATTGCAGCAAATTCCTGCGCATGAATAAATTCTTTCGTAATGCGTGAATACTGGCTCAAATTGGATGGAATTTTTTGGAATTTCGCGGGGTGTAGATTAATCATATGTGAGTGACAAATTTCGGTAATAATTCACAGGAAATCATTGGATTGAGCTCAAGAAAGCGTCGGCCCTAAGAGTGTGTTCTCAGAGCATCTCCAGTGCACTGTTTTTAAGTGCAAAAAATAAGAGCCATGTCAATATTGTAGACAATGTCTTCATATATATCTCTTCAATGGATACTGTTATGATCCCATTATTGTTGACGAGGCTTAACAGTAGTCAAACACATTGTGTGAAATGATAAAGTGCATTTGACGGTGTGACTCAGAAAAAAAACTTCCCAAAAACTCTACAATACGGGAAAACAACTGGAAAAGAGGGAAAAATTCGCGGCAAAAATTGAGGGAAAAATTCGCGGCGAAAAACTGAAGGAACATCGCGGTATCTGAAAGGCAATTGAAGGGAGAACAAAATTTGTGTAGTTCCGGGTTTCATTTCAGAACAATGAATCAAGATTCAACAAGGTAAATGATGAAATTTTTCAATTTCTTTGAGAAAACTTGTGTTGCAACTTTAATGGCTAGGGTTATCTCAATGAGGTAATATGTTTGGAGGATTGATTGTAGTGTATTTTCCTCAAAGAGTCAACTTGCTCTTCTTCCTTCATTTTTTTGTTTTAAATTGGTTTTTCTGTGTTCTGCTGGAGAAAAATACGTATGTGAACTTTTATTTTATTTTATTTTTTTTGGTGCAGATTTGTGAAATTTTTAAGAACATATTGGTGTTATCCTAGGAAACCTTGTGAACTAAACCATGTTCCTTAAATTATAGTTTACTCTGGCAATATATGTAGATATATTTTGCAGTGAACTGAACCATGTTCCTAAATTATGAGATCCTCTGTTTTGTTTTGAGTATATACATGTGTATATGCATTTGTATCTGACTAAAGTACGGTAAGAGAATTTCGATTTTATCCACGCCTTTGCATCTCATTTGATTGTATGAGTTCTTCCTTGAGAAGGAATAATTTGCCACCAGGTAGTGTGGGAGAGGGATGTTTTTGTTTCCTGCATTTGTGTTGTCTGTTCTCAATTGTAAGTCTTTGACCGAATAGGCATATTATTCCTTTGACCCCCTTTTTACCTACACTATTAGAGTTTATTTATCTCCTTCCATTTGTTTGCCTTTTCCCTAATCCTTTCTTAGCCTTGTTCCAATGCTCAAAGTAGTACCTGTATCCTTAAATTAGGTTTTAACCGTGATTCATTGTTAAATATATTTGATGATGATGAATCTGTAGACTTATACTGATCAATTGTAGTAGTTATTTAATTGTAAAAATCAATGCATCCGATCAGTTTCTTTGCATGAATTTTGGAGATCGTAGTCAACTTGTCAAATGTAAGAGACAGCGAAGTGATTTTCATGTTATCATTTTGAGGGAGCTTTAGTTTCTATAAATATTAAGCAGTGCGTGGATCATTGAATTTTTGAAAACTTTAGAAGGTTATTTGTCATTTCTTGTACTTTTATTTGCTTCTTAGATCACTTTAGTGTTTCATTTCTTGTCACTTTCCATGTTCTCATAGATGTGGACGAAATTAATTCTGCTTCTCTTGATGGTCACCATGTAGCTCCCATGTGTACTAATTTGTTAAGTTTCTTACACTTATAAAGACAATGAAGAGAAATGAAGGTTTTTTTTTATGTGTTGCATTGAGATTAAATTGAGCAAACAAACAGGTAGCTTAAATGCATTTTTATGTTTTGTTTAATTTAGTCTCACTATATATCTTGTGTCTTTTTTATTTTTTTATTTTTTTATTTTTTTGTAGACGTGTAACAAAAATGGAATCTCAGAACTCTGAAAATTATTCAATATCCCAACCAACTCTAAACTTTTCCAGGCCAACACAAATTGCAAACCAATTCAACCCACTAAACTTTCAAATGCAACCCCTTTATCACTTTGATCCAACAACAGGAACATATATTTCTGTTAACCCACAACATACACCTGGATTCTCCTTTCAAAATCTTTTAAACTCTCCAATTGGTAATACTAAAGCTGAAGCTGCGGCGAGGGAGCGAAAAAAAAAAAACTAAAAATACGAAAAATTCTAACAGCTCCCAAGCTGCACTTGCAAAAAGGGATTGGACCAAAGAGGAAGAAATTGCTTTAACAAAAGCATGGTTATATATTTCTGAGGATGCTGATATGGGTACCAATCAAAAGGGAGCAGCTATGTGGGATCGTATTTTGGAGGTGTGGAGAGAGAGCATGGGGGCCGAATGCAATTTTGCCAGAAATAACAATAGCCTACAACTCAAATGGTCCAAAATACAAGGTGCCGTAAGCAAATTTCATTCCCTGTATGAGCGTCTAGAAAGACATCCACAAAGTGGTACAAACTCGGAGGATTTGGTAAGAGTATTATGCTTTTCCTAAATTTCAATCTTCTATAATTAATAAAAATGAATATGGTGCTATAGGTTGTGGGTTTTGCTTTATTTCTATTTAGTTACAAGTTGTTAGCTTAAAGTTGAACAAACTAAATATACAGTGTTGTTTATATGTTTTATTTTGACACAGTTAATTTAGTAATAATAACAATTATTTTATGCTAATAGCTATATCAAGTTAGTAGCAGAACTGCTCTTATGTGCTAATAGCGTTAGCATCAAGTCATGGAGAATATAGGTATATTTATTTAATTTTCCTTACTGAACATGTCATTGATGAACATTGTGATAAGAAAACAAAAATTGAATTCAGAGTATGAGAAAGGTTTATCATTACATAAATGATAGAATAAGTTTAATTGGGATAGGTGGGATTTGGTAATCAAATCTCATATTGTTCATCTATTGAAGCAAAATCTTCTTTAAGTAGAAGCAGTGATTAGAAGCTAGAGGAGTTCATTTGAAATGGATATTCAAATTGGATTATGTATAGAATCAGATGCTTGTCTGATTGCTTTCTCACATTCTGAAACTCTCAAGTTTTTAGTATGTTTTATGGCAGTTTTTGTAGGGATACATTTTTGTGACAATGCCTTCTCTGCCTGGTAAAATTGTATGCTTTCATTGTTCAGTATTAGTAGTTAATTTTTGGTATTACAATGTTGTTTATTTGTTTTATGCAGATAATAAATTCAATGAGGGCGTACGAGGATTTGCACGCCACTCCTTTCAAATTTCTTGATTGTTGGAAAATTTTGATTAAAAATCCTAAGTGGTGCTCTAAAGAACTTACAAAGGCTGCAACATCAACGAAACAAGGGGTTGAGCACAAGATGAGCACAATGACAGGTGAAGTTATGGAAACCAATGGGAATGGTGATGTCGATGTACCTGTATCTACCAATATTGATGGTATTGAGCGGCCAGAAGGAAGGAAAAAATGCAAAGAAAAAAAAAAGAAAGCTAAATGAGGAAAAGGGAGTCGTGGACGCTTTAAACAGGTTGCAATGCACTTTAGAGAAACAAATCAACGTCAATCAAGCAAACTTGGAGATTAAACGAGAAAATGAAGAGAAGGAGTTGAAATTGCGGGAGGAAGTAATGAGAAAAGAGCTTGAACTTAAAGAGAAAGCTCAAAAAATGAAGGAGGAAATGTATAGGACGAAGATGAGGGAACAAAGGAGACAAGAGAAAGATCGGATTATGAACCAAGATCTTAGCAAGCTTTCACCAACTCGTCGAGCATATTACGAGCTTAGGAAGATAGAGGTCTTGAAAGAGTTGGAGAATGAATTTCCTCACGGGTCTAATATGGTATGCTTTATTATTTGGTTTGACTTTATTTGGTGTCATGTAAACTATATATATATTACTGTATTGATTTTTTTTTATTTTTTAAATATTTTCAGGACTTATGATGAGCATATCACTTGGAGTTTGGGATGACTTTTGTTTAAAACCGTGTAGTCTATTGAGTTTAAGATCAATTCATGTGAAGTATTTGTTATTAATGTTCTTTCTTCTATTTTTTTGTGTTTCTTCGGATTGTGTAATACTCATTTGGGATGATAAGTTGTTGTTTGATTTTGGTTGAATGGATTATTGATAGTAATGGTTTATCAATTAAAGTTGTTTCTTTGGTTTGTTTATTACTCATTTGGGGATGATAGATAAGTTTCTGTTTGATTTTGGTTGAATTGAGTTGTTGTTAATTCAAATCCATGAAATTATTATTGATCAGGGAACAAAAAATATCCATGTAGAAATATATTTAAAATTTCCTCACTTGATAATTAGTCCTTGGACAGCTACAAATCTTCAAGTGAGCAGTAGACATTTTTGTTGTTGTTTTTTTGTTGCCGTAAAGCTTATCTTGATCCAACAACATGAAGTGATTTGTTATTCTCCATAAGAAATGCATTATGGGGTCCAATTTCAGCAACTAGTAAAATTTTGTCATGTTTTATTCAAACTACCATAACTCTCTCTATACTTAATATTTTTTATTGCCGTTTTTTTAGTTGGAAACTAGACTCTTTTGGCTTTCCAATGGTATATGATATATCTCCTAATTCACTACCAATAAAATCAGTTTATTATATAAAACTGACAGTTGTACACGAACTTTTTTTTTTGTGTGAACATGACACGGTTTAAAAACACAACTTTAACTTTTTCTATACTTAATATTTTTTACTTCTGTTTTTTTTTTTGTTGAAAACTAGACTCCCTTGGCTTTGCAATGGTATATCATATGTCTTGTAGGTTGCAATCAATAAAATAGTTTATTCTTTAAAATTGACGGTTAAACATGAAGCTTTTTTGTGTCAACATGACACGGTTCAAAAACACAATTATAAAATTAAAGGTAAAGCAACTAACAAACTCATAAACATTTGAAATAGTTGGACAAAGTAAAAATTTAAAACTGAAAACTCATAAATAAAATAACAATCTATTTGATGGTCACCATGTAGCTCCCACAAGTGATCGATAAGATCTTTCTTCAAGGTTTTATGCACATTTTTGTCTTGAACTTGTTTTATTCTAGTATTCATCTGCGATAAAAGAAAGGTGAAATCATGCTCGGGGGTAACATTCTCAACTCCATCATCTCCATGAGGTTGCCAACTTTCGGGATTAATGCCTTGGTCATGTTCAGACTCAATAATCATGTTATGCAAAATGATACAAGTCTTCATTATTTTTCCCAATTATTTGGCATTCCACATACGTGCTGGACCTTTAATTATATGCCATCGACTTTGTAAGACTCCAAATGCTCGTTCTACATCCTTTCGCACAGCTTCTTGATACTTTGCAAATATTTTTTCCTTCATAGATGACGGATGGGCTATTGTCTGGATCAAAGTGGTATATTGGGGATAAATACCATCAGATAAATAATATCCCATGTTATAGCGGTTGCCTTGTACTACAAAGTCGCATGGCGGTGCAACTTCAATAATGATATCATCAAATATTGGAGATCTATCTAAGACATTTAAATCGTTGTTTGTACCAGCCATGCCCAAAAAAGCATGCCATATCCATAAACTTTTCGAAGCAACAATCTCTAAAATAAGGGTTGGAACTCTCTTAAAACCATTTGTGTGAGTATCGTGCCTCGCCGTTGGACAATTTTTCCAATGCCAATGCATACAATCTAAACTGCCAATCATACCTGGAAATCCCCTAGCCTCACCTTCTTTTAATAAGCTAGCAATGTCATACTTATTTGGCCTTCTCAGATATTGTTTTTCAAAAACTCCAATGATAGCATCACAAAAATGTTTTAAGCTCTCAATTGCCGTGCTTTCTCCAATTTGCACATATTCATCAAGGAGATCAGCTGCACAACCATACGCCAACATGCGTACTGCCGCAATCATTTTTTGTAGAGGACTTAGCCCTTTTTTCCCCACTGCATCAACCTTTTGCGTAAAATAGTCATCGTAATTTTCAATTGCTTGTAAAATGCGTTTGAATAATTCTATATCCATCCGAAATCGACAGCGAAAATGTTCAGGTGTGTACTTTGAGTCATCGCCTTTGAAATAGTCATTAATAATTAATTCATGACGTCCTTCCCTATCTCGACGAATGTAGCGTCTACTACTAGTCGTTCCACCATGAGGGCGTGAGGTGCTTGTTAAGAATGAAGACATTATCACAGGAATGTGAAACGAACAAGTTTGTACAACCTCGAAGTTCGATTCCTCAAAAAATGTATCATCTCCTAACGGCTTGTCTATTAGTTGTTTGGTTAGCGAAAACGCATCGTCGCTTGATGATGAGCTATTAGAATCCATTTCGTAGTCAGTCCACTCCATTATGTATAAATAACCTGCGTCGAAAATATACAAGTTAATAAAGAATTTATTAGTCAAATAACATAAACTATGTACAAATTTATTGTGAAATAATGTATATATTGGTCTTCATGTAAAAAAATATATTTCTTAACATGAATATATAAAATTATTTTTATTTCTGCATGCCACACTTATTTTATATATATATATATATATAAGTGATTTAGCTTTAGCAATAGAGGATATATGAATATACTTCTTTATGAATATATTTTTATTAATGTATATATATATATATATATTATATAATAACTCAAGGCAAGATGTATTAAATTGCTAGCTTAATACTCACTATTATTATTAAATAGTAATAGTACAAATAAATTATATATCTCTATTTCACCTATTTGATTAATTTTTTGTAAAACTTTCTAGATTATTTTACTAACTATTAATATTATAGAATACTTGATAATTATTGTATCTACTTCCTAAGATATCTAATTGACTTTAATTAACAAATAATGTGTCAGAATATTTACAAAGTAATGTAATAGACAAAACTAGTAATATCATTGGATTGGATATGAAAAAACTATAATCAGCCTATATATATAAATATTTAAGATGAAGATGTATAACTCTATAAAAATAACTGTTATATATATAATACTAACTAAAATCTAGTAAAAAGTAAAAAAAAAAAATACAGCAAACCTGATTGAAGGATAAAAGTCTCCAAGTATCTCTAAATATAGCACTTATTACTGTTGAAAATCAATCTCTTAATGTTTTAATATGAGGGTTATCATTTAACACAACTGGTGTATTTATATGGAATAACAAGTTGCAAATTTTAAGGATATATTGTTAACTCATTATCCGAGGCTAAAAACTCGTTCAATATAGAAGATTAGAAATAAGTGTAACCAGAATCCTCGCGTTTAAAAGTCAGTTAAATAGAATCCAGTAGGAAAGAAAGTGGTGCATTGGACGAAGTAATTGGCTGTTGCTATTTCTACTGTTAACGGTGATATTTAAGGGATTAGTTATCCAATTATGTACAAACACATTCCATGAACATTTAACGTTGACATTCCTACAATTGGAGATGCTCTTAGTGAGAGATGTTCTCGCCTCTCTCTAACCGACGACTGTGACCCACCCTTTGTTGATTGTTTGAAAGGTGAACCCAGTGTTTTAAATACCGTACCAGTGGTCATACTGGTCTAACCACCGGTACGCGGAATTACCAGTCGGACCAGTAATATCGGTGGTATTACCGGATTAGTAAATATAATTATATATAAATATACATAAAAATATATAATACCATGCAAAAAAGTAAAAAAATAAATGACAATAATCATTAATTTCAACTTCTCAATGAGATAAAAATAAAACATTTAAACTACCAATTTAAATTTTATTTTTTTAAATTAATACTTTTTTTTTTGTCGGTATTTTGGACCGGTATTTTGCGGTTTTTACGGTATAATCCCGGTACAAACCGGTATAACCGTAAATCCGGTATTTTGAGTGTAATTGTACCGTACCAATGGCCGGTATCCGGTATTACCGGTGTTACCGACCGGTACGGTACGGTATTTAAAACATGGGGTGAACCTAAAATTGATTCTCCTCCTTGGCTGTTTTTTCTTTGCTCGGATTCAATAATTGTTACTGAATTGTTGCTAAAATATTTGCCATATGATCATAGTTGCTGTCCAGATTTCCCATCTCGTCCTGGAACTATGTACTCATCCGAGACATTATATCCTGCAAATCTAACCCAAGTGCAACCATTTGATCTTGTAATTTCATCTTGATCGCTTCTCTTTTCATAGCTTGCGTGAGAATAATTTTGATTTAACCGTTTTCTTTTTCTGTATTTTTATGAAGTCTTTTTGTAATGGAAAAAGGAAAGCTTGGGAAGGAGATAAATTGTGTACAAAAACATGTAGAGAGAAAAAATAGAGAAAGAAAATCAAATGGAAATTATTTAATTCATTGTTGTCCTCTTCTCAACTCCACCTCACAATCCTACTAATAGCATGTTAATCAGTTAATGTGCTACTACTAAAACTATATGACATAGTTGGCGCAAACATCATCGGCCCATCACACCTAAAACACATTTCATAATTAAAAGCAGCCAATCTTCGATTTTCCCTTTTGCAAGCTCCGATCTTTTCCCCCACCTTTCTTTTTCCATTTTTCTCGTCTCCGACAAGTGTGTTCATCACATAAGCAATCAACTAACTTACCAACTACGACTAGCTTATAAGTTAGGTTTATCAAACATAGTCTAATTGACTTTGAACTTATAACTGATGTCTGAAAAGTTTACTATATAATAATAGTGTTCAATAAAATTAGGTGATAAATTAGCTCAATTAAATTTTTCAACAAGTTTTTTTTTTAAAAAAAAACTAGATAGAGAATCTTATGAGATAAACTTAAATCTTCTTTATTTTTTATTTTTAATATATTATACCAAATCAAGTTAATTTACTTCAACGTAAAAAACTTATAAGCGAATTAAATAAGTTATACGTTAATTTATGGTGTTTACCAAACACAATCTATATAGAATAAAACGTCCGACTCCTCAAATGATTAAACTTGTCACAACCACCATAACCATAGGACCTAAGTTGCTAATAGCTGTCGACGAACGGGCATCACCATAGAGCTTATGAGGACGACCTAACACACTTTGGCGCCACCCATTTTTAAAGAAGAATCAAAATCCACATATTCATCTCTTAAACCTAAAGCATACAGTTCACTCAAACTATTAGTGCTATACAATGTATAGTTAGAACTTAAGCCCTGAACCAAATTAAAACATGAAGTTAAAGGATTGGGAGAGGTCAGCGTCTCAACAAAATGCCGGTCTCGGCTAGTCAATGTGAAAAGTTCCGGACACCAACCTTGCCAAATGGCATGAAGGCTTTAGTAGTAGACAAGAGGTGATGAATTTGAGGTGAAAATGGGGCAAATGTGATTGCTTTTTTCTTAAAGAGAGAGCGAGACAGTGCAACATTTTGATAGTTACCAGTTTAAATTGATGATTTAAAATTTTAAAAAATGAGAGATTGTAGTTTTTATTTAAGTGAAGTAAGTAAGTCGGATTCGCCAATCATATTCCACTCTTTGCAAGAAAATGGCAATCAATTGCATCTCACTCACAAGTCCTCTGTTACATCAAACTCTCACTGGTGTATTTTATTTTGAAACTAAAAATTATAGTTGACCCATATTTATGTGATAAAACTCCTATAATTATCAAGCCACTATCGGTCATAAAATTAAAAATTAAAGGATTACCTTACTTTCTTCCCTCAAGAATCGGGTCATGAAAAGAATAGTGTCCTAGTGCTCACTAACCACGTTGACTGGATTGACTTTGATTGTGAAATGTGAACCAATTAACACTACACGAAACGTGAACATTACTGTGCGCACGTATTCCCCCTTTCCCAGTTTCCCTTCTCTTCTTTCCCTTCTTTATTCTTCTGTTTCCTCCATTTTTTTTTTTCCTTCAGATTTATTCATCATCTGGGTGCAGCTGCTAACTGAGATAATAAAAAGAAAAAGGAAAAGTACAACATATATGAAACGACTTCAATTAACANTAGATTTAATCCCCAATCAGAAAAAAACCACACACATGATACAACACAAACTGACTAATTATTATGAGTAAAAGAAAAAAAGATCAGATCAGGACTTTAGGAATATTTCCAATTTGGATCTGTTTTCCTGATCAATAACATCGAGGAAGACGGGGTCGACCACCACGTGACTCTCCACGTGCACCTTGAACCGGTGGTCCCACCGCCACATCACCCGCGCGGCGCCGCTGATGTCCACCGTCGACTCCAGCACCATCTCCCGCCGCCCCACGTCCGCCAGGAACCTCTTCGCGTGGTGGGCCAGCTGGAGCCCGCTCAGCCGAGCCGGCAGCCGGAGCAGCTGGCACGACCGCGGCGGCTGCGACCCGGCCTGGACAGGCGCCGACCCCAAGAGCGAGCCGCCGTAGAAGATGGCCATCTCGGTGTCGCCGTAGTGGATGGGGGCGGCGTTGGGGTTCGTCACGTGGACGGTCAGGATCATCTCCGCGTCCACCGCCGGGAAGTTGAGCTTGAAAGACGTCAGGTCGATGGAGATCAGGTGGAAGGTGGGGTCGCGGGGCCGAGCCGAGATGGCGGCCGCCGCGGCTGCCGCCGCCGCCGCGCCGGCGAGAGCGGAGCTCCAGCAGAACTTCTTCTGCTCCTTGCCCATATCTCACACCAGAGATTTTTTATTTAATTTATTTATTTTTTAGAAATTTGTAAAAAGGCTTAAAAGGGCGGTGATTGGGGAGATTGAAAGATTTTCATGATAAGATAGCATTTTTCTTTTTTATATATTGTTTTTCTCGTTTCTTCTGTTGCTAGACTTTTTGCAGAGGGCAGGGGCCCCACCTAATTTTGTGAAATGACGAAGCAGGACCAAATATAATATTCAANTTTCAAAATTTATGATCAAGTAAGAAAGAGGGTAAATCGGTAATAAAGTAAGAAGGGTAATTTTGGTACTTGAAATAATAAATTCCTAATTATAGGAAATCAAAAGTGGTATAGGACTATAGGAGTGATAGGACTTAAAAAAAAAAAATTCTATTGCTTTTTACTACCTCCTATTCTTTTTAAATGTTATTTTGGCTTTGTCAACTATTATTCAAATAAATGTCGTTTTGTATTTTTTGTATATATTTTTTCTTTATTACCCTCATTTAACTAATAAATACACTACGTCTTTTCATATTCACTCTTCATTTTTTCCCAAAACATTATTCTCTATTTTCATTAAAAAGGGTTATTATTGACAAAAAAAAAATATCCTTAATTAGTGTGCAACTTCTTAAAACGACACTTATTATGAATAGGAGGGAGTAAGTATTTTTTATTTTAATTTTAACACAACTTTAATTCAATTATACTATACTCAGTTTTATCAATATAATTTAATAATACGGATAATTCCTCTAAAATCCCTAATGCACATTTGAGTTTCCTTGTCAGTCCTCATTGTCTTTCTTTTTCCTCTGCACTCCTTAATGCATATTTCTCTTTCCTCTCAACTCCCCATATATATACTAATATCATTATTATTCATTTATTTTTCATAAATCACAAAAAATGAATGTCAGGAAAAAGATAAAAACACCGCCCCAATTCATTCTCCTCCTCCCCAGAAAACCCCATCTTCCCCTTTCCGCGTTCTGACAGGTGAAGGCGTCGCCTCCGCACCCTTCCCCTCGCTTTCACCGAAAATTATAACATCGCCGCATTTCAATTTTTTCGTCGCGGTTCTCCAGGCCCTCTTCTCCCGCCTCACCTTCTGCCACGTGGCCTGGATCTTGGCGTCCACGGTTCGCCTCAGCGAGTCCACCAAGTTGGGCCCCCGATCCTCAGCAGTGTCGAGTTTCGCAGGTTCGGGAAGCTGAGCTGCGCGTACTTCCCATGGAGCTTGTACGTTGCCCGGTCGTAGGCATACGCGGCAGTCTCCGGCGTGCCATAGGTGCCTAGCCACGCACGGACTCTGTTCTGTACCCATTTTCCCCACTGCCGCTGCCTCACCCTTTGTACATGTTGGTCTTGGCCGGGCCTGGATGCTTGAGGCCCGAGCCTGAATCAAGATCCGAAATTGGAATTGCGACCCTTGTGATTGGTAATGGGTTTACTTGATTGAGTTTGATATAGGATATCATATACTAGACCAGCCTTAATGGATAAAAATGGGATATATTGAAGAATAAACCTACACATGGCTAGGACACGTGGCGTGATGCTATTGGACAAGCCCAACTTGGGTCATAAGGTACATTCCCCCTATAAAAGGGGGCTAAGGTATCCCATTCTCTGATTCTCTCTACATTCATTACTACACTTGAGATTTGGAGTGATTCTGACTTGAGCGTCGGAGGCCGACCGAGTCGAAGGAGCCCGAGTGAAATCTTATTCACTTCATTGGCGCCGTCTGTGGGACCCGTTCAAAAAGCCAAACGGAGTTCTGACCAAAAAATTCGAGAAATTTTCTAGCAAGCTCCTTCTTCTCCACCGGTCGCCGCCACCGCCGGCTGTCGGAAAACGTGCTACGATCGGAAAATTCTTTACGTCATTGGATAGATCTCTTCGAGGTGGATCTCCCCTAAAAATTTCATGCGAAAATTCCTCCGGGAAGGCCGTCAATTTTGCGGTCAAAATTTACAGATCTGGCAAAAAATTGGTCAAAATAGGACATTCAAATGCATTTTCCCGACGATCCGTGAGGGCTATGGAAAATCCGAGGGTACCACCGGAATCCTCTCGACGAGGCGAATCTACGAAGCCTGACCTTCGCTGGTCGCCGCCACCGGAAGCCGCCGCCTCCGCCACCAGCCACCGCAAAAAATTCTCCGATCGGGAAAATCTTTACATCATCACGAAGCTCTTCTTTTGCTCGTTCTACCCTTAAAATATCAAGTGAAAATTCCAAGCGGAAGGCCGTCAATTTAGCGGTCAAAGTTTTTGGATCTAAGAACAAAATGGTCAACCTCCGGTTTCTTCTCCGATTTCCCGTCTATTTCCGGCGAATCGCCTCAAACAAAGGATACCATCGAATTATACTCTCCGGGGCGACCACACGGAAGGTCATTTTCGCCAGATCCGGTAACTTTTTCTTCGGCGACGTTTCTTCTCCGGCGAATCCGCGGCCACCTGTGGTACCTGCTCCAGCATCCCACGTCGACCCGAAGACCAGGCCCATTGAGCGCACGCCCGTCAGCCCGTGAGGAGGCCCATAGGTCCGCAAGGAAGTCAAGTGGCGAGGCCTGTGAGTAGGCCCATTAGCAGTGGTCCATCTGCTTTTGTCTGCAGCCCAGCAAAATCCCGCAAGGCCCAGTTCGTGAAGGCCCACATAGAGGAAGGAAAACTTGCGGGCCGCGGCCAGCCCGCGAGGCCCGCGCCTGGCCCGAAGGCAGCTCGCTCCAATCCCGCGCGCAACCCGCGCTTCAGCCCACGAAGCGGCCCGCTTCCAGCCTAGCTCCAGCCCTCGGTGTCCAGCCCATTCCCAGGCCCATATGCGTGCGGCCTTTATCCGCGTGCGGCCCAGAATGCTGTAGAGCGGCCCAGCGCCCTCAATTGAGCCCATTGTGCGACCAAACCACCTCCAGACCAGCCCAGAGGGTCCAGCAGCACCCCAAACCTGTCTAGCTTGGTCCAACAGCCCCATTTTGTGCTCAAGCCTAATTCGGGATGATTCGACACACACGGTGATGTAATTTGAGATAATATTCTCATGAGGAAGGTATGAAGCTGATTTAAATTATTGGTACGAGGGACTTTTTAATGGGTAAAAATTGGGCGGTATATTCGTGAGATTATTTTATTTATTCATGGAGATATTTGGATTATTCGAGGAGATTATTTGATTTACTTGAGGAGAATATTTGATATATTCATAGAGTTTATTTGATATATTCGTGGAGATATATTCGATTTGTTCGGGCAAAATTGTTTGATTTATCCGTGGAGCCTATTTGATTTATTGGTAGAGTATTATTGGATTTATTTGTGGAGCATTATTTGATTTATTCAAGGAGATTATGTGATTTATTCGTCAGCATTATTTGATTTGGTCGAGGAGATATTATTTGAAGTATTCGTGGAGAATTATGTGGTTTATTCCTGGAATTATTTGATTTTTTCGTGGTGATATCTGATTCGATCGTGTAATTATTGGATTTCTTCGCGGAGAACTTATTTGATTGAAAATAAATGTGGGTCATGATTTCGAGTTGAGGATACGTCGTGATAATACTTGGCGTGTATTTGTTGCATTTATCAATTTTATTGGTGGGCTCGAGGAGATGGATTTACATTATATGGTTTGATATCTTGATATATTCGGAGTCTCTCATTTGGATTTTCATGCGAAAATGTGGAGTTTTGTTTGAATTGACTATTCATAATTTTTAAGCATGTCATTGCTCGAGCATGTCTTAAATCGAGGAGATGGTGATGATTGTATTGGATCTCTTGTTTTTCTTGCGTGGAGAATTGCAAAATAGATGACGTGAATATAATAGGGATAACGATATCTCTTTGAATTCTTATCGAGGAAACATCGAAATAACCCGACTCTCAACGAGCTATGGTGGACGAGTTGTGGAGTTTTGAGAACAAAATGAGCGAGCATGGATCCATCAAAGCAGGGCGATAAGGAGTGGCGAGTCTAGATGGTGCCGATCGCAGGTGGAAATTTCAGAGGCAGAAATCATTCTCTTTTGGAGAGGTAGGATAATTGGGAGTGGCATTTTTGACCTTCAGGTTTAAAATTAATCCCAACTCTTGTCAATGGTCAAAATCGACTGACACTATTTTGTGACATATGGAGTCTCTTAGCATTCTTTTTTGGGAAAAATGTTCATTGTTTGAATATTTTGGGTGAAATGTCGCTGAGATGGTGGTGTATGTGGATATGTCTGGAATTATTATTTGGGTGACTAACAAAATGCAGAAAATGAGGTGTGCGTGTCGCCTCGAACAAAACCTGGCACGACTAAGGCCTTCGGGCTGGCCAGTCTCGAGTCGTCATGACTAAGGAGCTCGGTATTGGGAGTAACTCATTTGAATTTTTGTTTGGTGCATTCGTTTGACGATTGTTTGTAGCTGCAGAGTATGATTTATTGTAACTGTTTGTTGAATTCATGGCTTTATGAAATTCTGGTCGACTGTACATTTGAGTGGGTGTTTATGCGATTTCATATCGTGGTAGAGACTTGCATATAGATTGAGGTGTTGTATAAACGAATATGGACCAGCGTGATTGCTTTGATTTATTCGTCTTCTGTTGTTATTGCTATCGGGGTTGTAAATTGGATGATGTGGATAATATGCAAAATAATGGAATCTGTTGAAATCTTGTCGAGGAAAATGCATGAGCAGGTGGACTGGATATTGGCTATGGTGAGGAGTGGGAAGCATGGAGCAAAAAACAACTCAGGTCGTCGTGTACAAACATGAAAGGAAGGTCCAAAAAATGCTTGATATTTTTATTTTTACATCTTGTTCGATATAACTATGCATTCGATGGGACTAACGAAAATGATCAATTACTATTCTGTCCCGTGGTCTTTGGTGTGTTGTCTTGTCGGCCTCAGTGGCAGGTCGAAGTGTTCGAGCAGCTAGAAGAAAAAAATCACCATAACTAAGGCCTCCGGGCTGGGTGGTCACATGTAACGACCACTCCTTCGAGGGTGGGCATGTGTTCGAAGACAAAAATCCAACATGACTAAGGCCTCTGGGCTGGGTGGTCACATGTAACCACCACTCCTTCGAGGGTGGGCATGTGTTCGAAGACAAAAATCCACCATGACTAAGGCCTCCGGGCTGGGTGGTCAAATGGAACGACCACTCCTTTGAGGGTGGACATGTGTTCGAAGACCAAAATCCACCATGACTAAGGCCTCCGGGCTGGGTGGTCACATGTAACGACCACTCCTT